TCCATATCGAATAAACCATTTTCGTCAAAAAAAAAAACAACAAGAAAATCAAAATGTGTTGCTAACAGATATCCATGTCAATTTTTGACGATTTTAATGTAATGTTCTTGAAAATTATACAGCCAAGTTACTTTTCTGCCTAAAAGAATTAAGCATTTGAGAAAGAACTGATCAAATTTCATTGAATTGAATCGAATTTCTTATTACTGCTGTTTTAATGAAGTATGGCTGAAAAGATGTCTTGAATATCTTATAATTTGGGGAATGTGATACAGAAGAAATGAGGTGGTTTTAAAATTTATGGACCGTGAAAGATGAAGATGTGATATTGAATGAACTTGAAAGTTTTGTCGTTTTGAGAATGAGTGTGTATGAGCCTAAAGTTTTTACTTGATTGTGTCTTTGAGAATATTTTAAATAGTAGAAATTAAGTCTGTGAATATGTTTTGAGTCCTAGATGAACTTTCTAGATTTTAGGAATCTTCTGATCGCTACAAAACGGTTGAATTCTACAATTTTCGAGAAACTTGTATTGATAATTTTTAAAACCTTAAAAGAATTGACTCTTGTTCTGTTAAAACCTAGATCAGATAGCTTATGACCTAGATTGGATATTTATTGACCTTGATCAGATAGCTTTTGACCCCGACGAATAATTCTCATCTAAATATTCAAACAATAACATTGACCGTCCCTGCATTTAAATCCTTAAATCATTCTTTTAAGTTAAATACATTGACATTTACCTAATTGACCTGTTAATTCACTTACATTAAATTCTATGACTGTAAAATAAACTTTCCCCCTCACAAAAGTATTCCACGAATTCTTACAAAGTATTCCAAACCTTCAGCAGCAAATCACGCAATGTAAAATGCCAAAGTGACAGGAAAACTTTTCAATTTTCCTGAATCAAAAGAGAAAAAAAAATTTTTTAAAAGAAAATCGCGATTGTTTTGTTATGTATCTTTCCACATCTACATAGATTCACAATGAAACTGAAAGAGTATTAGGAACATCAACAGTCGGTGCGTTTGAAAATAATAAGAAAGAGAAAAGAGAAGAGGAAAAAAAACTTTGAAAATTACTTTATACAAAAAGGAAAATTCAATATATTGCAGAAGAAGTAGAAAAATCAGTAAAAAGTTTCGTGTAGCGAAAAAGGAATTAAAGCAATTTAAAGAAAAGAAAGAAAAAAGTTCTAACAAGTCGGAAATTGCACGAGAAAATAAATTTCGGAAAAGTTTTTCTTTATTCTGCTTCCCTAGAGCGAATAAGCAGAATTAACTTTGCGTATTTCCATTTTATAACGAAGCACCTTGTCGTAAGAATCCCAAGAATAAGTCTAATCATAAAAATTATTCTTAATGACTAATCATAAAACATATCATAGTCTTATGCTGTATTTCATTTAACCTTGAAGTTAAAAATTGAAGCAAACCGTTGAGAATAAAGACAAAAGAAGAATCTGAATATCATGGGGAGAAGTTGAAAGGCATAAAGGGTGAGAAAATAGTAAATGAGTTCTAGACATTTAGATATTCGTGAAAAATCGCTTTCTGACAAATGAAACGAACAATACGTCGTATCCAGTGATAAAGGTCACACAAAACATTTTCTTTGCTGTACACTTATTTTTTGGTTTTTCCATGTGAACCACGCGACTTGAGGAAAGGAGAAAAAAAAAATCGAATTTGAGCTTGAATAAATGTCAAGGGCTATGGATATAACAAATTTTATTTACGTGTATTTAATGACTATTAGAAATGAAAAATGATTTAACATATTGTACGTGAATGAATGGGTTGGAAAAAAACCCCTGACAAGTTGAAAATGAAAAACGAGAGAATCCTGACTGAATAAATGCTGATTCAATATCGCGTGTTTGTGCTGTTATGATTGTGAATTGAATAGAGACTCATTCCCCAATTGGATTCCTTCAAAATGCTGTATTTTTCCATAATCTTTCACTCATAATCTTATCACTCCTCGCAATGTGCTTTATAGCGCGAGCTTATGGGTTAATCGCAAGTGATGTCTTTTAAATAATTGAAATTCGACTGTAAAATTTATCTTAAATTATATTTGCGGGGAACAAAACCTAATCAAATCTAATCTAAGCCATGTAAAATCATTCCTAGACTTCCATTCCTTTTAAAATACTGAACGTCACTTGCAAATAATCCCATAAAGTATCAAAAATAAAATATTTAATGGACGTTCCTCATAAAGGCTCCCATACTCATATCCAATTTTATTTCATTGTCATTGCAGTGATATTTGTTATCGTGATTTAATCGTGGTGCAAAAAAAAAGTTATGAGCATTTTTAACAAATGTACATCCTTACATAAATCCACATATGCACTTATTAATAATAAATATGTTGTGATTATTTATTAACGATGTTTTGCTTAAAAAAACTGATTGATAAAAAAAGTGTGTAAAAAAACTTTTAGATAAAGAAAAAAAATATTATATAAGTGACTCTATATATATACACTAGATATGTATATTAATGCACAGGACTATTGATATACACGGTAGTTAAGAAAAAAATATTTGGAATCAACAAGGATAAATAAAAGATTGTTAAAAATAAAGTTTTTAAATGTGAGTTAAAAAACCCAAAAATCCACAATTTCCTGTCAATATCATTTTTATGGGTGAAAGAAAGCTTTTCATTCCTTCCACGAAAATATATTTTTTCACATCCAATAAATATATTTTTTTGTGTACGAATATTTATAATTTAATCATGAGTGAATCAGAGAAATTCTTTAAATATTATTTTTGAAGAGGAAATGAGAGGAAATTCTGAGAAGATTGTGAGCTTGTAAACAACTTTTCATTTGATATATTCAAACCTAAATGATTGGCAAAAAAGTATGCCAAAACTCACTTTCAATTCCACGTAATTTAATATTCTAAAGTTATTCAATGTTGGTACCTCAAGGTACTTATTAATTCAAATTAATTTAAATTTGTTCCTTAATGTTAAATCTTAAATGAAAATTACACGGAATTGGATAATCAAAAGCACGTTGAATATCTTAAGGGAAATTTATAAATCTCAAAATAAGAAAATTTACATAAAAATGCCTTTTTCTTTGGTGAACTTCTTATAATTCATGGAAGGTGACGAACACAATTTGTAGCTTTTGACGTTTTGACCTCAAATTGAGATTTTCAAGTGCACAATAAAAAAAAAAAACACAGAAAACTTTTAAGAATTCTTTGATGATATAATATTCAAGCTTGGAGAGTCAACGATTTCATTTAAAAAGCTTCGATTCATGACATGCCTCAAAGAGCATGTGATCTAGCACGATTTCTTAAGAATTAAAAAGAAAGGAATTGTTCAAGAGCTTGTTTAAAGCTATTTTGAAGTACCAAACTTGAAAATATAAATTTCAATCTTTAAAACCTTAGTTACAGACGCTTGTTTAATGCGCCATTCCATGTTGCAAAGATCCTCATTCTTCTTTATAACCAGCATGAGAAATTTATCTTAAAGTACAGCAAGCCAGACTTTATGTATTAAAAGTGAAAATATTCCTAATTGGATGACACAGGCAGTTAAAATTACCTTAATCTGATTAGAATTCTCTATAAACAACCCTAGAATTACTAGTTTAGACTTCTCCTATGCTAAATTCTAAGCCCTGTTTTACTGCTGATAATATGATAAGTCTTATTCGATATCTCACGAGTCAGCAGTTTTTAAGTTTTAGAACTGTTTGTGTTGCAAAACCTTTATGCTATAAGTTTTCAAACTATCGCTATCAAATAAAGCAAACATTAAAATATATCACAAACACAGACAACCCTGAAAAAAAAAGCTTGTGAGCTTCCAGGCGCCTGAAAATAATTCTTTTCAAAATTATTATCAGATCATACACTAGCAAAAGAACTCTAAATGAAAACAGATGCCATAAAAAATCCTTTCAACTAGAAACTAATCAGAACTTTTAAATCAACATACTTTATGCTTTCATAATAGATTTCTACCTTGCTATTATTATGCGACATAGCTTTTTTTATCTGGATAATAAATTCAACAACATGCTTTAATTCAAAATAAAGTCAATCACAGTTGAGTGAAGAAAATCCAAAGCATTAACTTCAACTGGAGTGGATTTAATGAATCATAAAATTGTGTCATTACTGAGTCAGTTGTAATCTAAGTCAATAAAATGATAATAATCATCATGAAGCTCTCAGCTGTCAATAAAAACATTTAATAACTTTCTTAATTACACTCCTACTATATTCATATTCATTATAGCTTGTATTGTGTATTAATCTGTGTTGTTTTGCTTTTCATGCAACGAATGTCAAGGATTAATTGTATTTTGATGATTTATGTGTAAATTGTATTGAGAAATCTAGATTCTGATTTAAATTAATGAACTTGATATTCCAAACACTTCAATAAAGCTTCAGAAGCTCCATGTTGTCGCACAGCTGAATATTTTATTTTCTCAAAGCTCTCATATTATCTTGAAATATTTAATTGACGCCAACTCGACTTTTCTGGATGATATCCTCGTCTACGAGTGTCATTGGTGTAGCAAGGGGGTACAGGCTAGGGTAGCAAACCAATGTTTTACGGTTTGGGATGCTCAAACTATAGAAACTGCATTTTTTTGATGATCAAAATCATAAAAAATTCATCTTTGATCTAAAAAATCCTTGATGCACTCCTGACAAAGTATCAAGATACAAAATATCGACACGTGTCAATTAGAAAAAAGTCACCTTGAACTTTCACACACAAAAAGTTTCATGAAAACAATTTATTGACTAGTATTTAAAAATCATTTACTGAGGCACAGCACATAACTTAAATTTACACGCAAAAAGGAATTAACAAAATATTTTTATAAAATTAATTACTCCCGCGCGCTTATTATTTGCGAGAAATAATTAAGTGAAAATTACTCAATTCATTCAAATATTTATACAAAAAAAAAATATGTTTCCTTTCTTCTCGTACAGAATTTCATCTGTTATCATTCTCATACAAGAAAAAATAAAATATTATAAAGAAACAGGAAAAGCAAGAGAGCACATAAAAGACTCACTTATGTAAGAAAATAAGAGAAGAAGACAGAATCCATATGAGCTCCAAATCGACTCACTGAGGAGTAAAGAAAGCACATACATACACAAATATCGACAACAGAACAATATATTTGTATATAATAAAATTTATCTTTTGTGCATAGTGAGAAACAGAAAGAAAAGAAAGTCGGGAAAAGTGTGAAAAATAAATAATAAAAAGAAAAGAACAGAACAGAAAAAAAGACTCAATTTCTCAAAAGAAGCAAAAAATATGAGTTCTGCTGTTTCACCATCACAAGTCACATCGAGTACACCGATTCTTGTTACAACACCATCGAGCGATACAAAGTCATTCAACGAACATAAACGAGATGAATCTATTGATGATCAGCGACAGCAATTGAATAAACAACTGAATAAAACTTATACACGGGTATGTCATCCATTCCATTGATAAAATATGTATTTATATTTTTATTTTACTTCCTCTCGTTCTTGTAAAATGCTCAATTTTGTCATTTATTCATTTTAAATAGGGCAACAGTAATAAGAATAAACAGCTAACGCGAAGCCATGCAATGAAAGAGTCAGCATCACCACCACGCACACCGAATTCACATTCACCAAACGATATGAAATCACATTCACCAACGGCGCCTGCATTAATGAATCCAGGTGAGGATGGCTTGCAAAACACATCAGCAGCAGTAGCATCGTCATCATCGTTATTATTAACAGCACCACCATTCATATTGCCAGAATCAAATAGTGCTGGTGGAAAGAGTCAATTGGATATAGAATTTCCAAAATTAACACCTCCAAAAACAAAAGTCGGATGGAACTCGTCGTCACCATCAACGGGTGGATCACAGCGTAGTAATAATAGCCGAAAATCTGTCTCATCCGATACATCGTCAACAAATAATTCCTTATGTGAGGATATAAACGAATCTCATATTAATGACAAAGGCTCTCAACCTCAGCAGCATCAACAGCAGAAAACAGGATCTCAAACAATCTCAGTTTCTACGACATGTACTCAAATATCGTCAGCATCATCACCGCTGTGTGATAAAAAGCAGCAACAATATTCATCATCAAATGATAATAATAATGAATGCGAGAAAAATTTAAATGAATCATTTAATAATATTAATTTAAATAATAATAATAATAATATTAATAATTCTAGTAATAGTAATAATAATAATAATAATAATAATAATCATGATGAGCGTGTGATTTCACCATCGAGGGCTCAATGTAAAAGTCCAAATTACAATGACAGTAATAATAATAATGGATCATCTAAATCAACTCCTCCAGTGTATCCGTTAAATATCAAAGGTAAACCACCATTGAAAAACATGGGCTCATCATCGTCATTTGAGGGTGGAAATACATCATCTGGTTTTATATCACGTGATAGTTCAAGCGAACAATTTGTCGATCAAAATGGCATCGATTTGGTTCAATTTTTCAAAGAAACATTAAATAAGAATGCAAAAGACCGGAACATGTTGATGAAAATTGAGCGAGATTTGTCACAATTGGCTGTGGATCAAACGTATGTAACTGACTGATTAATTTTCCAATATTCGATAACAAATTTTCCTATTTCATCACAACAGGGGTCGTACTTTCATCAAATTTCCACCAATGTCTTCCTACAATCGAATGCTTGTGCATAGGACGGCAGCATATTTTGGGATGGATCATAATGTTGACTCAACACAACAGTGTGTTATTGCATCAACAACAAAAGATACTAGAATCCCTGATGTAAGTTATTGCTGAATTGTCTATAGCATTAAAGTTTCCAATCAATTGCATTCATTGTATCTTCAAATATCCTCCCTAGATTCGATTTAAAACCCTCATTCGAGATACATTTAGTGAAGAGCCACGAAAATCAATACTGAAACGTGAAGCACATAGCTTTGAAGATTATCGTCAAGGCGGTCTCTTATCCGTACAACGTAGCATTTTAAATCGTAAAGCAAAAAGTTTCGAGGAACGCGACGAAGAGTACGAAAAGTACGAAAAGGTGAGTGTAAAAATCTGAGAAATTATTGTTTTATTACTTTTTTGTGCTCCCTTTTATGTTCTATGAACGAATCCATTACATACTTTAATAGGAATGGCAATGGATTCATCATGACGGTGGTGGTGATATGTCCAACAAACTCAAAGTTCCAATACGATTTATGAAAATTCATGCATCGGTAAATGATGATAACAAGATTTATTGACTCAATTGAATTACCATCAATTTATATTCCTCTCTGTCTATGCCTCTTAAAAAATATTACAGAAATCACATTCATTCGGTGGCTATGGTGGATCTAATGCAACACTCATGCGTGATGATTCAATTACGTCAAGTAGAAGTGCGGGTCCGAGATTACATAAACAAGATTCCACAACGAGTACAACATGGAGGCTTTCGCCATCAAGCAGTGGGTAAGTCACAGATGTCAAAAAAATTTCTAATCCAATTTCTTTATCCCCACCCACACGAACTTTTCGTTCTGTCGAGAAAAGCCAAATTAATTCGAGTGTATTTTATTGCAGATACAAGACACAATCATTACGTTCGGATTCCTCACCGACTGGTGGTTATGGAAGTGATACACCCGAACCATCGTCTGCACAATCACCTGACGCAAGTCGTGGTGTTGTATGGGCTGTGACTGACTTAGCTAGTGTGCCAAAGGGCAGTTTAATAATTGATCCACAAACACTACAACCGATTTTAAATCAAGATGGGTAAGCTAAGACTTTAGTGATTAAGAAGTACTTGATTATAATTTGAAAAACTCTCTTTTTTAGTTCACTGTATCATTTTGATCCCTCTAATCCGCCAACGACGAGTGCTCGATATTCAAATACTGGAAATTCACGTAAGAAACCTGAAAGGCAAAAGTCGTTGAACAATAATAATATTAACAGTAATACTAAGCCTAACAATTTTAATGCTAACAATAACAATAATACTAACAATAATTCGATGATGATGGTAATTAATAATATTGGAAGTACAGAAAATTCAGAGAAATCTGCCATTTTGATAAATAACAAGCACTCGTTGTCTCATACGAAAATAAATCATTTAACGACTAACAATAATAATGATATAATCGATGATGATGAAGAAGACATTGATGACAATGATGATTATGATCAAACAGATGTGATGCCATTTGATGCGATATCACCAAAGATTCATGACGATGCCTGCAAAACCAAAGATGATAACTGTGAAAATAAATGTTAGTTGTCTATGTTCTAGATTTTTTGTTGTGATTTTGGACATTGAGAAGTTTTAGTGACTACCACTGGCTAGCCGCATAGCTTAAACTCCTATCTTTACTAGCTCGTGTCAAGAAAATTTGTCAATAAAATTTCTCATGTCCAATAGTGTAAAGAACTCGAAGCGATTCATTGACCTTAGTCATTTTTCAAATGTGATTAATATGCTTCTCGTTTCTCGAAAGCTTAAAAGACTGATTCACATGTTAATTTATGTTTTATATTTAAAAAAATTACAGCTAGTCAATGTGAACTGAAACCTCAGTCATCTCACCTTAATGCAGAGGAATTAATGTCACCAAAGCAAAAGAATCAGTCAACAAGTCCAAACTTACCCATAACTGAGAATACTATTAATGACGATGAGGTGAGTGTTTAGTATTCTTATGAACTTCCAACTTTTCATAAAGTATCCATACGATCTTCAGGAATCTGTGACACCGACGTCGAGTGTCCAACCGATAATCGAGGAGAATGTACATGTTGATTTAAAGAAAGATGAATTGACGTCCGTAACAGAAACTCCACCCGTCCAAGAAATCAGATTCCAGACGAATCCATACTCAAATAATACTGCTGTCACAGCGACACCAACGTTGCCTCCCGTATTGGGATATCCTACAGCTGCTTCATTCACAACCACTCCCATAGAGACTGCAGGAACTATTTATCATACAGGGGTATGTGGATTTTTTTTTTATTTAAATTCAATGATTTGACATATTTTCTGAGACTCAATCTCTTTTAATATGAAAAGTTCCTTCAAGCAACAGAAGCAAAGACGACAAAAAAAATTCTCTTTTATTTATTTTTATATTCAAATGCTTTTCTTATGTACATTCTTTTATAAATCAGCCTGATGGCACATTGTACGTTTTGTCACAACCTGTGATGTATTCATATACTACTACGTCCACGGTACGTAAAATATAAATCGAAAAGAAAAAAATAAATCAAAGGCTGATGTGTCATCCATTAAAATCATTTTTATCTGTTCGTTCTCCCTCACAAAAAAAAAGAAATTTATTTTTTTTGGTATATAAATTTTTTTCTCACTAACATCATCATTTTTTGTTCCTTACTTCTTTTTAAAAAAAATACATGAAACAACAAGCGAATGTAAAAAAAAATATACTAATGACTTTCAATTTCATCCATCCATGTATCCCATTAAATCATTGTCAATCATTAAGCTTATTCGCATTCCTATTTGGCTTATTCAATGTGACAAATAATCCAAAGTATTACAGTTATATGCTAACATGTGTTCCTTTTATTTGATAATTTTTAGGAAAATGAAGTACCGAGTTGTTGGGTACCGATTTTTGATCAAGGTGCTAGAGATCCTAATTTAACTGTTATGCCTGTTGCGACGCCTTATAATGGGCCAACTCTATATCAAAGTCCTGTAGTTTATTCTACAGAACAATTTACAAACCAGCCAGCTATTGCTGGACAATATCCAGTTGGAGCATATCCAATGGGATATGCTACTTATCCAGTTAATGGTATGTGTAAGCTCAATGAATAACTATATGCTTTATAATAAATTTTACTGTGCTTTTAGGTGCTCCATATCAAAACATTTGGCCACAGCCAATGACATATTTTTTACCGCCATCAGCAACTCCTGGACCAACTCAAACGGTATTGGTCCCGCCAGCTGCACCACAAACCCCAAACGCAACTTTAATACAATCAACAGCATCTAATACACACACTCCAAGTACAAATTCAATTGGCAGAAGAAATTCTCCACCAACGAATAATCATCATGTGCATACGACAACAGCACATGGATCGTCAGCGGTTCAAACGAGTACCGCTATGCCCATACAAACATTTCCTTCAAGTGTTCCTTTCTCACTAGCCGCCACATCTGACACTACATCGGCATCAGGACCAGCTTTATATGCGATACCTCCATCGGTTTATCCAAATGTTCTTCAATATCCAGCGTCAGCTACAGGCTATTATCAGCCACTGCCTCATCCGCAAACAAATACAACAATCATTAGCTCCGTGATTCCACATTCGAGTGCTCATCCTTCCAGTACAGTTCCATCTACGCCTCATTCTTATCACACGACAGGTATAGGCGGGGAAATTTTAACGCATTTTCCATTTAGTCATCAGCCACCAGGACACAGTAATGGACATAATGCAACATCCACGCCACAATCAGCACCGAGTACGCCATTATCATTGACCACAATGCCACCAAATTTCAAAAATCCTCCATTATTCACAACACAACCGCTAATTGCTACTGCTCCTGTACATATTGCTGCACATTATGATAACGATAAGAAAACAAGTAGCATAACAAGTATGAGCAGTGCACCGAAAAAATATAATAATGGTGGAAATGGTATATTAAGCACACCACCAACAGCATTTCCACAACATTCAAATTTAACAAAGCCATCAAATGGTGGAAGTAGTAATAGACAACCGCCGCTTGCAAGCTACCAGCCACCAGTTAGTGCGCAAGGTGGAAAAAAAAGCATAAACAATAGTAATAATAACAATAATAATAATAATAATAATAGCTGTAGTAATAGTCATAGCGAGGATACAAATAGTTTAAGCAATAGTAATATGAGTAGCAATTATAGCAGTAGTAATCGAATAAAGAATTCATCATCAAATCGTGATCAAACATCATCAGCTAGCGGTAGTTATCAACCAAAGTCATCATATAATAATAATAATAATAATAAAAGTCAGCAACAGCAGCAACAGCATCATCAGCAGAGCTACAGTAGCAATAGTAATAGTCCAAATTCAAATGACAATTCAGAAAGTACGAATGTAAGCGTAAGTGGCAGTAATAATGGCAAATATCCACCACGCGGACCAGGATCGAGAATTCCACCATTAGATTTAAAGCGCAACAACAGCAGTGCTAATGTGGTACCAAATCATCATACACGAAGTACGCCTAGCACAAATTCCACAGAATCTAACAATTCTCCGAACAGTATTACGTCATATGATCATTCAAGAAATTATCATTATACATCACAACATTATCAGCATCAGCACCACCCCCAACAACATCATCATCAGCAGTACCACCAGACGCATTATGCATCGTCAAATACAAGTGGACATAATAGTGGAACACATTATTATCGTGGTGGCAGTGCTGGTGCGATTAACACAAATATTCATCACAATACAAATAATAACAGTCACAATAGTACTGAATCACCATCCATACAGACATGCTTTCCTTTCAATGTTCACTCTCAAAACCCTGGAACTTCCACGCCACTACTCGACTCATGTCATCCTCAGCAGCTCATTGGCTACAATAATCCCATGGCAGCAGGAATGTATGTGAAATTCGGACAGGCATTTACATTCGCAAATGTAAGTCTCGAGAATAATGATTAATTAATAGAACTAAATGTGGATCTGTCTTTTATAATGAAAAATTATTTCTATTTTTTTTTTATAGCCATTGCCCAACAACAGAAAATCTCCATCGAACGATATAAGAGCACCATTGGCAGGTGTATACTCAACTATGATGTTACCTGGTAAATAATGAAATCTAATCAAGTTTATAGCAATCTTTTTCTACATTATTTCTTCTCTTCTTCTTCTTCTTCCTCGTCCACGCACGCTTTGTTAATTGATGACCCGAATTTTATTATATACACATCACAGGAGGACCGCGTCAAATGAATCCACGGACGATGCAAAACAATCACAATTACAAAGGCAATCGCACACAACAAAGGTAAATGTGAAGGAAATGAAAATACAACATGCAGACAAAAACAAAAAAAAATGAACAAGTGGACGTGAAATTAAAATCATCATACTTTATAATATTATATATAGTGAGAGGGGTCAGGGCCGAAGAGTTTTATAAGCAGTGAGAAAATAATGAGAATTCCTATAAAGATTCTAAACGAGGTTTATATAAAATGCATACATACATAAGTCAGATGGAAAATGTCACATACATACATGAACAGACAGGCAGACAGAGACACAAAAAAACATACACACTCATTTTAGCAGGAAAGGAACAAAATATTTATAAATATATTATATTATATATTTTAAATTTGCGTTGCCAAATTAATTAATTATGTATGTGAAAGTGAAAAGAATATACTTAAAAAAATAGACAGATCTATATGAAGAAGAAAAAAAAAATATAAGGAATAGAACATATATAGTCAATACTGCAGCTTCATACTCTAAAGAATCAATAGATAATTAATTAATTTTATGAAAAAAAAAATCAAGCATAAATTCTTTCTTGAATTATTTAATTAATTACTTTCTCGAATCATTTATCAAAGCAGAAAAAAAGAAAACTTTTCATAATTTTAACAGTCTATAAAAGAAAAGAGAATATATCTGTAGAAATAGTCAAGGAAAGTATCATTCTAAGGCCCATCAACATAATAACTACATATGATGAAAATTATATAAACCAGGATGGATTTGGTGCTTTGGAGTTCTTTTGGTGGTCTTGTTGAAGCTACACAAGTATAACACAAGTCGGATAATCGAGAAGGACTTAAGAGCGACCAAAGATTCGTCTCGAAGTCGCCGTGAAGTAGGATTTCATCTCGATTATCCGACTTGTGCTATTCAGGATACTCAGTTGACTCTAGACTTTAGTTGATTTTAACCGACTTCTTCGATGGTTTATCATACAATCACTAGAATGCATAACTAGCTTGTATATTACAACTTAAGCTACAAACAAAAGACAAAGACAGACTTTAAACTATATGTGACTTCCAAACTCTATAAAACATCAATAAAGATCTCTTAAAGAGCCTTTGTTTCATTTGGATCAGCAAAATCATTAAGATTCTTGACAAAGCATGCAAATTTCAAACAACAGACTCTCCAGATAGATCCAAAGCAACCCTAGTTCATCCTCCCCACTAATGCAAAAAGGAATAATTTAAACTATAAAAAAAAGGTATTCATAGGACAAAAGAAAATCAGATGACTTATGCTAAAGCTAAGGACAAAACTCTTTTAAATATGTATCTGATACAAATTATTATAAAAAAAAAACAGAATCGATTAAGTTTCTACTAAGATGATAGTCATATATATATTATTATATTATGTAAGTCATATATACTCTGTTTTCTCTCGACTCTTTTTTTTATATTTTCAATCATATTTAAACAAAAAAAAAATTACAAAAATCCTTTAATGTTATTTTTATCCTGTTTCTTTTTTTTACAATTTCTAAAAGAATGTTTTTTATAATTATTTATTCCTTGTTATTATTTGTCGTATATTAAATACCTTTGATGATCAAAGAAAAAAAAAATGTGAAGCATGCAGGACTGAATGGCAAAGAGATTAGATTGATTGAAAAAAGCTTTGAGCTTTTCATGTCAATTTAATCGGATCATAGAAGCTTCAAGAATGCTCGCATGCTTTAATGATTTTAATTATTGATCTCTTCCCAAAATCTTATATTATGGATATGATTGAATTGACTTTGTGTGATGCTTAAAGTTGGATGGAATTTTATGAAATTAAAAGTTTAATTGTTGATTGAATTTTAAGATCTAAATTTTTAAAATTAATGTGAAATTTTCAAAGATTTTCAAAAAAAAATATTAATTACTTAATAACGAATTAATTTAGACTCCTCAAAATGTATAGGATTCGAACCTGACAATTTAATACTAAATTGATATAATGAAAAAATTATATTTTTGTTTGATTTTATTATAAAACATATTAAAATCTACATTCTCAATGAATCTTAACAAAATGTTAATCAACCTTTACATCCACAAAGAAAAAGCAATCCCATAATTATTAGGATTAATCTTCATCCTCATTTATTCCCCATTTTTCATTAAACATTTATATAAGTAAATGAAAAGTTTTAATTGGAAATTTATTTTCTGGAATTTTCTTGAGAGTCTTACAAGTCATTTTAATGATTGTGCACAGCACTGCAGCTAGATTATTTAATAAAAAATAAAATAAAGTAAAATTAAACATTTATTTATTTTTATATAAGAGACTTTAAAACGTTACAAATTAGATCTTAAAGCATTAAAGCAAAGAACAATATGAAAAGCATTGAGAGCTTCAGCAGTGATGCAGAAATAAATCAGATCATTTTGATGAAATAGCATGTATTGGGATAGAACCATTCAAAAGTACGTGTGACTAATGACTTTATACTAGTCCTGCACTAGTTCTACATTTTGATGGAGCTAAGTTCGGTGCATGAAGCTGAAAAACCTGACATTATAGCACCTCCTAAAGGATTCATTAGAATCTAACTGATTGCTATCCAAATGCATGCCATAATAAAATGTAAGGCTCCAAAAAAATTCAACAAAAAAATAAAATTTTCATTAAACTTTTTCTCGTTTTCGTACTTAAAGAATCTTTACATAATCTTATTACAAAAAATGCTGTTTTTTTTCTTAAATTAGATTTCCTTATTACTTCTACATTATGAATCTTTAAGATTATTACTAAAAGTGTTAGTTTTTTAATAAAAAATGAATAAAATAAAAAATAAAAAAGATGATAAAGTAAAAAAAGTGAAGAAAATAATTTAAAATTATTAAAAGAAAAATATTCTATCGAATAAAAAAAATCAACAAGAATGAGAAAATGAAAAAAAAAATTATTGATCGATAAAAAAGTCACACAAAAAAGATTGAATTTGTTTATTTTCAAAAAAATAATGTAAAAGATAAAAAATTATGTTTGATTTATTTCCTCAGTTACATTCAACAATTTAAAATAGAAGAAAATTTATATTTATAAATTACGGCGATCAGAACGGAATAAAGAATCGATTTTAAAATGACGAGGAAATGTTAAAGAATGAAAAATTGATGCAGTGAGAGTAAAAAAAAAACATTATGTATTAATAAAGAACATATTGAAATAAATTCAAACATAAATGAAAAATGAAAATAAAAATGAATAAAAATGCGAAAATTGATTTTATTTTGGTTCTTCTTACCTTTGGATGTTACAGTTTCAGTTTAAATTTGCTTTATAATATTTCAGAACTCTTATTTGATGAGAATTGCAACCAAACTTCTAGAAATATTGAGTGAAAATTGTTGAAAACTTTTTGCAAAGTTTATTTGATTAAAATTTATTTCTTGAAACTCACAAACTCGATACAAATTGAAGCTGAAAACGGATCCAGTAATTACTGTCAATATACTACCATCTGTTGTTTCTTTATTCTTAACCAGTCAAACTAATATGCTGTTAATTTCACTCAAAATAACATGCAAATTGCGAATCATCCAGAACCATCAGAAGCCATAAAGCAACATTAGCCAATAACAAAAACTCTAACCTTTTAAAAGCAGACATTGTAAATCTCTCAACAAACTTCAAAGGTTTCTAATTCTCGTATTGATTTCTCACTGACAAATCGCAGAATGGCTTAAAAATTAAAAGCAAAGCACAGCAATAACTTTGCCCCTTTTTACAATCCTATACACAACATGAAGTCTATTTTCAATTTTCAACCAGCTACCTCCATTGATTGAAACCTTAAAACTTATCAGAATCGATCAATAAATACTTACTTCATTATCTTTCTCTTTTCTTTACGTTTCATGTAAAGATTGTCACAATTTTACTGAGTATTTCTTGTTATGCTATAAGCTAATATGTATGTACGTATGGCAAGTAATTTAGTAGACTTAAAAGGCAAACGGATTAACTACGGTGAAATTAAAAGATAAGAAAAAATAATAATAAAATCCCGAAATGAGTCAGTATTTCTGTATATTTTTCAAATAGATGCAAGTAGACAGTTGTACTTACGTTCATTGTGCCATAAGGGAGTCATTTGATGGTGATGACCATTGAAATTGTAGTTTCTTAAGAACAATGATTCAGGAAATTAAAACTAATCATATTAATGTTATTATTGATTCACAAAATTGCTTCTGGATCTTAAACCTTGCTCCATCACTTTAGAACTTCCTCAAGAACTGGACATCAAAAGCATACGACCCACAAAGAAGGAAAAGAGAAAAAAAAATTAATTTCAATTCAATTTTTGTCTACTAATCGCAGTCTTATCTAATTGAATTTATTAGTAAGTCATGTACATTGTCTATACATAAAATTATTATAATTATTGTCTTTACCCAGTTCATTTATGTTACGAACTGAGACATGCAGACCAAAAGGAAGAAAAATCTCTTTTGCGTCGTTCGTCCCGCATTACCATATAAAGTTTGTGCAACAATAAAAAGCGCCAAGCGCTACCTCAAATGATTGTTGAACTACAATTTTTACATCTTTTCTTTTTCTCGTACTTCTAAGTAATTGTTTTTATGCGACTTATCGCATTCACTGCTTACTTTTTTTGTTGTTGTTATTTCTCTTCTCTCTTTTTTGTGGCTTTTTTGTTGCAGTTTTTACCACAGCCAGGTTGTTGTTGTTGCTGAAAATTGTGTAATATTGTGCTAATTGTTATCACCATATTTTTTTTTTGTATTTTATTTAAAAAAGGAATAAGAAAGTAAGTCGCGAAATTCCAACAAGCACAAAAGTTCACAGCAATTAATTCAATTTAAATAAATACTTTTGTTTCTAATTCATGACTAAAGACAGAGATTTCCATTGCCTTTATATCATTCTCTTGCTCATTTGCAATTATAAAATGAAGGAAGAATGGAATTCAATTTTCCATATCGCAGCATGAATCTCATTAAAAATTCACACATGAGTTTATAGGCATCGTTAAAAAGTCGTAAAAAAATTATCATTATTATTATTTATTCTATTGTTTGTGGGAGCAAGAGACATTTAAATATAAAAATTTACAAATTATTTTTGTATTCACATCGTGTTCTACATGAGTCCTGACTTGATTTTAGTCTGCAATAATAGATGATTAGAAACCTAGGCACGAGACTAACGCTGCACCAAGTCAACAAAGCAATTTAACACTTTTTTATGAGTTTTGAACCTGCGCTTTTGTTTACATATGTATTGGATTCTAATATGCATCTATTAATCAGTCTACAGACTTGAACTTGTACAATCTAGATCTTTACAGTAGTCCAAGCTCCTAAAAATGGTTTCACTGTACCATTTTTGTTCACCCTAATTATATTTTATTGTTTTTACTGATTTTTTTATATCTTAATCTATCAATCTGTGATTCTCGATATAATTAGCCAAAAAATTTGGTATATGAATGTAGAACTAGTTAGTATGTTCAGTTTTAAAGATAATTTTCAATGGATATGAAATACATCATTTTTATTTTTGTAGTTTTCGCTGAAAGCTCATTTGAAGCTAATTCAAAAACTCGAGACAACTTTTTATCAGGATTTAGATTTAAAGACATTAAATGTGAAAGTGACAATACAACAGTTATCTTCAATTATTGTTACCTAAAGCCAGTGTCCCGTAAAATTGTTACACTTAATGTTGGACTTAAATTTCTGGTTCCATACACAAGACCACTTTATGGACACACAGTTTTTTACTACCGATATGGAACAATTTTTCGAGAAGCCATCAATACACCCAAAGTTGATTGGTGTGATGTTATTGGCGGTGCAACAACTAATCCAATGGTCAATTTATTGATGAATTTAATTAAAGATTCAGCACCAAATTTTCTACGCAGTTGTCCATTCACTGGTAGTATTGATATTAAAAATTTTACAATGAACTTTGAGCTTTTAGACAAATCAACAATGATGCTTCCTGAAGGGATTTATAAAATTGAAACTGTATTTTATTGGAATGATACCAGAACTATTAATTACACAATTATTTTTGAAACCAAGTCACCTCTCAAGGAGATCTTTGGATAAAATCTGGAATTTGCAGTACCTTAAGTTTTGGATCTTTTATTTTATATAGCACGATGTGAATATGTATGGTTGCACAAACAATATACCAATACACTAGCTATGCATTATTAATGAATAACTTGAAAATATATGTAACTTGCTGGCTTTTATAAATAAAAATAATAATATTAATCTGTTGTTACTACTTGTTTTTATTATGTTTACTTTATTTCATGCAGTTTAATGCTTTTTGCAACTGAATTAGTTAAATTTGTTTAATTGTCTGGATTCAAGGGTTGACATTTAGTATTGAGATTTGTTGGATGAGATTTAACATTAAAGCTATAGAAATAGCAAAGCTTATTTTTAATTCTTAAGGATAATTTAAACTAGATCTGCATAGAAACTAAGCCATTAAGAAGTTCTTCGTATCTCCGTCTGATACATACAAGAAGAGCACTCACCATACCTTATTAGGTTTAATTTGTATCTTCAATCCATTGATATTCATAATAATCTATACAATTATTTCATAACGCTACTGAAATCGCAAGTAGATATCCAATTTTTATTGTTACAGTACAATGCAAAAGGAAGAAAATTTATTCATTGAAATAGGCGCCGTTTTCATTCATGCAACAAATTTTTATTATGTTTGTTGTGTATCTTAAATGGCTCTTTATCATTCTCATAGAATTGTGATTTTTACTATTCTTAAAATTAGCAAATGTACAGCAACTTTCATCAACTTATCGCTGGTGGTTCTTTATTCTCTTTTCATGTTCATTTATTTGAGCGATTCCTCAAATGGATAGAGTTTGTTGTAGACACTTTGGGTGTCTATCTGTTCTGCTAGAAGTTATCTACTCATTCAGCTTCTTAACTTATCTTTTTTTAACATGAAACTTGTTTTGTAGTATCTGAAGGTTCTCTCTTGGATCTAGGGATCGTTCTTAAATGATGTCTAATTAGTATGAAGGAAAGAGTGGTTCTGTGCTGTGTGATACTTTTATGCAATGATAAAATTTAGATCTTACTTACTTACTTCCTTGGCTGGGACGCACGTGGGCCCATTGCCGTGCTTAGAGATAGTCTGAAGACAGCTCTATCCTTAGAAACCTTCTGCCAGTTCGGGATATTAAGGACTCGAGCGTCCTTTTCAACACATCCAATCCATGAGTTCTTTGGTCTTCCTCGTGATCTCTTGCCATCTATGGATTCTGTTACTGTCACTTTTAATACTGGGGCATCTTGTGAGCGTCTGAACACATGCCTTGCGTATATCAAGCGATGTGTATGGAGAACTGTAAAATTTAGATCAAGTCAAATAAAGAATGTCATATAAAAGCTAAATATGCGCTTTAATCAGTCCTGATCAGTTAAGTCCATACTAGTTTATTTTTATTTCCATTGCGTTTTAGTTGGTAAAGATCAAGCAACAGAATTTTCAATGTAACGATTTGTTATAATCTGCGATTGCATATTATTATATATTTATATTTTTCTTAAGTAAAATCCCATTGTTCTATAGCCCAAGTCATTGCAATGAAACATATCTCCCTTCCTATTTTTATTTTCATTTACTTATTTTCATTAATGAGATAAATAAAGTCCATTGCAATAGAATTGATTACCGTTACCATTTTTTTGCGCTCTTTTTGTACCATTTCGGCAAATTCAAAAAGATAGCAGAAGTGAAAAATTTTTATGTCGCAATTTTTGCGTTCATGATATTAAAAGATTCCTTAAATGGATTTCTACTATTTATTATTGACTTTATTGTTGCTGATTTCTGCTGTGGATTCATTGTTGTTAGGAAAAATTACAACGATAAGTTTTGTCTGAAGCTACAAGCGTGAAAAAATCTTTTTATCAAAATTTCTCTTTATGGATGCTTAAGCTTTGTTAGTCATATGTAACTCATAATTCAATTAATTTCTCTTTAAGTGTATCCGACAGACTTTATAGGATTGGTCAGTCTTGAAAATGCATTGTAATATTTTATGATGTGTTATCAAAATCATCAAGCATATGGCATCGGAATCGTTAAAAATATAAAGAAGATCAATAAAAATACTAAAATGATCTTGCCAAATGGCGCTCTTTTTGATTCTTTTATGATTTTTTTTTGTCTTTAGAGAAGTAAACGATTTAA